TTACTTATGCCCCTTACAATTGTCGGACAATTGTTGATAATTATCGACAGATATGCGCAATTGGTACACCATTGTTACGGATTGTACAGCGGCTTTCAGGTGTTTGCAGCTTGATAATCATAACATGAAGAATCATAGATATGTATTGCATGGTAACTAAGTACAAGGGCATCTACTAACTCTGAAATCAAGACAACTGCGACCCACATTTAACTGGGGGGAAAGATTCAGTAAGAGAAAGGGGAAAAAAGGGAGGACATACTAAGCTACGTTGGGGTGATGTGTTGACTGATCATGATTGAGTAGACCTACGTATGTGCAGGAGGAGATCAGCAGGATCAAGGAGGGTAAAGGATATAAAAACTTACAGGCGGTCAGCAAAGATATAAAAACCTCCAGCCAGTCAGCAACACAGCCAAAGGTGTCGCACAATGTTGATAGCAACTGCTACCGCATAACAACATTAAACCGGACTGCTGATGGCCTGAAGTTAGTAAAAAGTAAAGAGTTCGGAGAAGAGAAGAGAACTTACACGATGATTTACCTGAACTCGAAGGAGATTGATACAGCGCGATAACGGAACTAACGGAAGGAGGACGGGGAATCAAACCCGCGCAAGATTGGTATCGACACGTACTTGACGGCATACGGCAATGATCCTCCGCAAGGACTTGGCAACAACGCCGACATGACAGTGTGCGCCGATCTTCAGGTGGCCCAAGGGTGGTGGTCAGCAGCGACCACTGAGGGAAGAGGTTGCTCACTACGCTGGAAAAACGGCCGAGGGACAAAGCCGCCTATGGCAGTCCGGCAACGAGGGGAGACATAGGGCCTGTGAATAGATCCTGTCAGTAGGAGACATGTGAGATGTAGTGGGGACTTACACTGTGAGTCTGAGGCTCAAACAGAGGGCGTCAGAGACTTGTGCCCCGCTACCTGCTGGCGGACAAGAGTATGAGATGGCCCAGGAAGGTTGAGATAAACTTACTACTGTGTAGGTAGTGCCTCCAAAGCGTCCGAAGCAGGATGCGGCCCAAAGAAACACTGTAGGAAGGGAAGGAAGATGGGAGAAGGAAAGAAAGAGGTGTTGATGTTTGTTATGACAGGACCGGAAACGAACCACCGTAATCGCCACGTGAGATGCCGTACGCTCGATCCGACAACTTCAGCCGTCGGCAACGGACTTGGCCAAATTCGAGCCTAAGTGGGATGAATTTTCAAATAGTGAGAAAGCATTTGCAGGCCCATGTATGAGGTCTGGCATGGTTCCCAAGTCATTTGTGGCCTTTTGCAACCAGAAAATCACATTGAGTCCAAAATTGTCTGAAATTAGCGCCGATTGTTGAGTTATAACAAATTATCAGTGGTTACCGATAATTCCGTGACAATTGTTACACAATTATCAAATCTGGATTTTCCTGATGCTGGAGATTCCAGCGTCTCTGGGCCTCCAGACTACCGGAAGCCTCGGAGACTTGTTATCTTTGCAACGTGCGTCAAACTGAATGACTTGCCATGTGTCTGGAGTAAACTATATGGTTGCTACTTTCTTCCACATGCTTTTGAACATCATATGACTTACATCTCTTCTCCAACAACATGAGGTGATCTGTTTCTATTGTATTTCCACATGGTTACTTATCTATCCCCTTGTACCATTTCAATAGAGTACTTTACTATTTAATCCCTTAGACTACACTTCTGTTCTTCAGTTCAATTATTAAGTTGCTTCTGCGCTCTGTAGTTGCTTCTGGGTTTTGCTCCGGTCTCTGGATACCAGAATACTCTCCTTGTGCCCTCTCGTCTATCTGGTAGCATGGATAGTTGTTATGGTCGGGTCCAGGGAGATCTGGAAGGGGGCCCAGGCAACTGGTCCGAAGGAAGCAAGAGTTGGGTTGGGAACCGCGAGACGCGTCGGGAAGTATCGGGCCAACAGTGAGGGAGAACACAACAGCACTGAGGTGCAGGGTGAGCGAGCGTATACTGCTAGTGTTATGTCCAGGTCCAGAGGGGAGATGAACAAGGGGCCGAGCGAGCAGCGAGGATAAGTCGGAACAAGATTGGGTCGGGAAGCTACCTGACTTGTTGGGAAGAGTACTGACAGCTCGGAGTAACGCAAAACCACAGGAGTGAGGGTGAGCATACTACTCGCGCTACAGCAGGAGGGAAGCAAGAGGGAGAGAAGTTGGAAGGAACCCAGAGGCAATGCAGGGAAGGTAGAGCAACTTGATTATTAAACTGAAGAACAGGATGTACTCTAAGGCTATTAAATAGTAAAGGTCTAATGTAGCAAAGGGGATATCTAGCAATATCAGATGGAGAGCATGTGGACTCAACAACAAGGTAAAGTCCAAATAAGGAAGCTTAGTGTTGTGAGTATCAAAGAAGCCCAGGGGCTGAAACAACATAAGGCAAACATGAGTCGCACATGAGGCAGCGTAAACAGGCAACACTCAGAAGACCTTCATTGTGTTGAACCCAACCTTGGGAAGATAACCCGAGGACTTCCTGACGACTCGGAAAGTTCCCGAGCTTCCTCGGGTTGGCCGAGTTTGTCAGCTGACCAAGTAAGCCAATGCATGGACATAACAGTTCTCCAGGTCAGGCTTTGGGTTTTGTTTCACCGTGCATCAGATTGTTAACACAAACAGTGATAAGCCAGCAATTGGGCCATGCACAGGATTTGCCATTTTTGCTCAATCTGTGCCACTAGCTGTATTGTAATCGGCTATATAAATCACACAACAGAGGGCTAGTGTCAGTCCAGGTAGCTAGCTAGGAGACAGCAACATATATACTATGAGTTCTAAAGTGTGAACTTACTGGAAGGTCAATACTGGCTGGAAAGTCAAAATCATACTTAAGGCTTTAAGTCAAACCTTCTCTTCTTTTAACAAACCCCTGGGTTCATAGGAGTTGGGTGTTCACTCTAATCAAGGACAGGAGGAAATACTATCCATCCGTGACCAGGGTTAAGGAATGGGGGCTTTACAGGGGCAACCTATGTTGATTAGAACATGTGTCTGCAGTAGAGTTGGCATTTCCTGTCAATCAAGCTGAAGATCCGAGGACCGAAAAGGTCTGAAGGCATAGCCAGGAACAGCACCTCAAAGGGAGCAGTAGCGGCAGCAAGGTCTTGCTGCCAGCTAAACCAAAATTGTGATGCCAAGAAGCTATTAATAGTCTTGACTCGAACAAACTCATATGGCTATTCACGAATGACTCGAATGACTTGAGGCTGATTCACCAGGAGTCATACACACCGAATTAGGACGACATGATGAGGCTGGAATATTATTTGGACACGCCAGAAGCGGACACATATTGTTTATTTTAATTGTACCAACATCCATGCAGATTATTCTCCTTTTCAAGTCAAGATACATGTAAATTAGTAGATTGTATTCAGTAGGCGTTCATATCATTGTGGGCTCAGTGTTTGGACCATTATGTACATTACCGTATCAAGTTTCCATGTTTTGTAGTATTTGGTATGTAGGATTTAGTATATAAGTAGACGTAAAGCTTAGGTGGAAACCTGTGGACCGTACCCTTCTTGTTAGGAGCACAGCATAACACATGCCTCTATCCAGGAAGTCTTACAGAATCCATTCGGTGTACATTTGAGTGTCTTATAGATATTTTGGTATCTATCAATATATTGGGATTGGATTCTATTTGTTGTGCAGCGTCAGCGTTTAGGGTCAGTGTCAGTGTCAGTGTCAGCAAATATTACAGTGGAACTTGTCAACCTTCAGTTACAGTTCAAACCCAGTGTCGAACTAAGTTCAGTTCACCACACAACCACCTGGTGTATATCACCACAAACCTTGTTGAAAACCACAACTCTTCTAGGAACTATAAAGGTCGCATCAGTGCCCAATAGGTCCAAGAAACCAAACGGTTGACTTAAAGCTTTAAGTTGAAACCTAGTTTTCAGCTATTGCAACAGCCATGATACTTTGGTTGGAACCCCACGAACACATATACAAGCAGAGAAGTGATTAGGTGTTTGATTTGGAGTGTGTTTAGTGTGTGGTTTAGCCATACATCAAAACCCAGTATCCAGCTCATTTCCTCCTCGGTCGTCCCGATCTGCAGCGTATCAATGGCATTTAGGAATGAGATAGAGCTCACAACAGATGGGGTGTAAAAAAGCCTCTGGTCGAGTTCATGTTGACGCTGGCCAAAAATTGCAGCCAGTGTGACGGCCAGGTGGCAGCCCGCAGCGCAATGGTGGCAGATGGCACTCTGATGTGCAGGGACTGTGGTCCCAAGTTATTTTGTCGCAACTGCAGCTTGCTTGTGCACCGGTGCAGACCTTTGTACGGAAACATAAAGATATTTCGAGCCTCACATTTTTATATTATTGTATTGACGAGCGGTGTGAGCTGTCACTTTGTGATGCGCTCAGAACGCGGCCAAACGGGAGGAAAATCATACTTTCACGATGGCGACTCCGTATCCAAGAATATGACAAGTGATCGCACTCCCGAATAAAAAAGGCCAGACCCCGAATCGAACGGAGACCTTGCGAGGAAATGTTACAGGCTCTCTATTTGTCCCACATGCGTTGCCATTCCGCCACCTGGCCATGACTAGGACACGAAGAGCTTCGACAAACGGACAAAAGAACAAGACAGACCTTAATTAAAATCTGTCACTGGATTAAAAAGGATGGCCTGACTCCGAATCGAACGGAGACCTTGCGAGTAAATGCTGCGGTGTCTGTATTCGTCTCACATGTGTTACCATTCTGCCACCTGGCCGTGTTTAGGACGGGGAGCCTCGACAAACGGACAAAAAGAACGAGACGGACCTGATTTAAATTAAATGAGCGACAGACTCCGAATTGAACGGAGACCTACAAGCAAGCATCGAGGAGGAAAATGTTGATTCTTGCATGCGCTACCTGGCTGTTCAATGCGTGTTCACTCAAAAACTCAACGTGCACTCACTCAAAAATGAAACGGAGGCAAAAGTTTCTCGATGGTGTATCATGGCCAGACTTCGAATCGAACAAAGACCTCACGAGCATACATTGGTCAACGTATACGAAGAGTGCACGTGCTACCATTTCACCATCTGACCAGTGCTAAGGGAAAGGAGATGGGGGAGCAAACAGAGACGGAGTGGTTGCGGTATGGGAAACAGAGTGATTAAACACAGAACCAAGGGGGTTCTTAGGAAACGGGGCGACTGAAACGGGAAACGGAGCCGACACGAGGCTGCTCTGAGTCAATTTCTAACCCCTTCAAAATCGGGAACGCGTGGGCGATCACAGAGGCGAGTCAGAACTAAAAAGGAGGGACGTCCGTTTCCAATTAAAGGTATAAGTACACACACGAGTATCGGACAGAGTACGGTATAAAAGCCAGCTGTATGATGCGGAATGATCATCTTATTACCTCCCACTGCATATACCTAAAGCTACTCCCCCTGAAGTACACCAGGGTGGGGAACTAAATTAAATACACTCCGCTACGGGTCGTGCCACCCAATAGTAGGACAAACCAAGGTCACCTAAAAGGCCAGGGCTTGTCAAGAAACCCCGTCCATCTCACCTCCATTTCGATAAATTGATACGGGGGAAATAAAGTCAATCCGGAGTTGAAAGCGCGCGGTAGTAGATTAGGCGGCACACCACCAAATGGCCAGTCACCTAACTTGGCTTCGTGCAACCGTTCCTTTTCGGAGTTCGAACACATATCCTGGCAAGAAACCCACCCTATCGTATACGGAAGGCCTATCCTACACCATCATACCATTTCCCCCATTCAATTTGCACACTTCACCCCCGAGTCTTCAAAACGGAAGTGATTCCGTTTCAAGGCATTCACCAATGGAGAAACCAGGCTACGAAGGGAATCGCTATAGCCGTCCGTATAGTGGTACACTGTACTGAAGAGACCTGCCGTCCGATACGTTCGAGACGGGTGGATAAAGCATAACAGATAACCCGAGTACTCCGGAACGGAACAGCATTTGCATTGCGGAGCAAACCCTTCGAGCAAGTGTAGATAACTATCCATCCGCAGTACCTTTGGAAGGCTAGCCCCAACGAAGAACCAAATCTTTGAGGAACCTGGCAAAGTGTTCAATCCAAACGGAGAGAACTGCACCCACACACACACACACCACAAATTATATATCGCGCATTAGCGTACCTTTAACTACGCAGCTCCGCGACAGAGCAATTTCCCTCTAGAGGATGAATTAAATTCTGTAAACACTACTTGACTATACCCACCCTGGTTCAGGCAGTTCACAGAACCGCAGTCCGCATCACACCGTATCCGCAAAACAATGTCGCCGCTTTCAGGTTGTTGCCGCACATTACTTGTGATCATTGGTTCATGAAGACTGGTTGGCTAGGAGAGGACAAAGAGGATACCGGGGACAAGGAAGTATGCCAGGAATGATTCACGGAAGGTCTAATTATACCAGCGACATAGACAACGACAAACCTCTGCGGCTTCTTTCCTTTTTCATCTCAATTCCCATAGGGCGACAACAGTATTCTATCATCCAGGAGGAACAGAATGGACTCTTCAAACAGGCTCAGGAGGACCCTGCTGGCCAGGCCGCCAAACACTTCTATGGGTATACCACCGATCCCACAGTATCATTCTGTCGTCGACGACTGGATCCTACCATTCAACCTGTGGAAACCCTTCCCATTACCCTTCTTCCAGCACCTCTTCCATGTAAATTCTCTATCCATTTCACGACGACACTCTTATTCAACTTAATGGAACTTTTTCTCGCTATGACACATCCAGGATTAATTGCAGGACCAACAAATCTTCCATGACGCCCTTTACAGGAGAGAGAAGTTAGAACAGAAGAAGATTCCCCTGAAATACGGTGTATGGAATTACCCCTCATCTTGTAGACACCATCTAATAAATGCTCAGGAACATTTACGCCGCCCTTAGTCACACCCTCCCAGCTCCCTGCTGTTCTAGGACTTCCAGTTGTATTCACGGACACTATAATTGCCAACACCATGGTGGTGCTCTGGTACACCATTCTGGGACCTAATACTCCCGGAATGCTATGGGAGAACCGTGTCGTGCAACTTACAAATGGAGACTACAGTCGAGCACGTTTTGTAAGAAATCATGGACCCACAGTCGACAAACCCAGCAGCTCAGTCACCGCATTTACAACCTCTCCACCACTGACGCCACCAACTTTCTCGGGGTCAGAGCAATCTGCGGATGCCGATGAAACTACGGAGGAAAATATGGACAGATAATCAGGTTAGCATTGAAGAATTATACGAATAAGCCCAGAGTGCTGAGAAATTGCGGAAGGATCCATCAAAACACGAGGAGTTGACCAGAAGGACGGAAGAGATGTGATCCCCGCTATGCATTCTTATCATGTACTATAAGCTTGTCGCCTCAGAAATCCGCATTTATTCGCTGTTCAGCATCCAAGGGAGTGGAATAAGAAGACAGGTGGCCGCCTGAATGTCTACATCTACCCCTTCCAGAAACCCATTACGTTCCTTCTCTAAAAACGCCACTCAGGACTTTATAACTCGCCTCAACGACCCTCTTGCCACAGTCGTCTCGGTGACCATGGCTAGCCAATATTCACACCAGACCCATAACCAAGCTCTTCCTATCCTTGAGCTCGAGGAATATGGAGGAGTCATCCATGACCAATCCGCTTGGGGCAACACCGTGCCGATTACTCCCCAATTTCGAGTTACAGGCCTCAAGCGCGGCACACACCTTTCTACTGGATTGAAGACCTATGCCACAGCAGGAGCAATGGATATTCGAGTATTTCTCTCCACCAACTATAGACCAACTCACAATAATTCGGGCAACATCATCATTCGGGCAACATGCTATCTTCATGCTCCCCACGCTATCATCCTGCTCATTCCCAAGGACTTTGTCGATATCCCTGTCACAGAGTACCGCGACCCGACTGTCATTGGGGCGTACAACACCGCTTTCATTGAACATCCAACGAGATTACAGTATTTGATGCCGTCGGATTATGCAGGAGGAATACTGTGGGGAAAGTTGAAGCTGGGGACCAGTCTTGGAGTATTAAAAGTAGAGATTGGAGCGATGCCTCGGCTCAAGATGACAGGACCGCTGGAGATGGCGTGAACAAAGCAAGGAAAGTCGTCCAAGATTGCGAGGCCCTTGTATTGAAGCTAACAAGTAATACAGACCTCCTTATTCGCTCGCTTTGTGTTTTGATTGTAACAAGTGGATTGAAGTTACAAATATGTTCTTAACAAGTTTGAAATACGTTTGGAAGGATGAATAACAAAGAAACAAGGATACCCTGCAAAGAAGATGAGAATATGTAAGAAAAGAGAAGAAAGGACAATGACCTATAGTATATACATGTGCCATGCATTCTGAAAAAGAAAAGTCAGGATGAGGAATAAATAAACGACTTAGCATCAGCCGACATGCACCCATAATGTTATATCCAGGTTCGGAGGGAGCAGGGATGAGGGCCAGTCGCCAGCGGACACAGCGGAGTGGGACCGAGGTCTTCCGGTATAGGACCGAAGACTCCGGTATTCCGGAGTAGTAGGGAGACGACCGGAGTAACACTACGCCACAGTACAGAGGACGAGTGCACTACCCGCGCTACCAGAGAGACGAGCGAACACAAGGGGAGTATTCCGGTATTCGGAGACCAGAGAGAACCCAGAAGCAACTACAGGGCGCAGAAGCAACTCAATAATTAAACTGAAGAACAGGAGTGTAGTCTAGGGGATTAAATAGTAAAGTACTCTATTGTAAAGGTATAAGGAGATAGATAAGGGACCATGCGGAAATACAATAGAACCTGATCACCTCATGTTGTTGGAGAAGTTGAAGAAGAGATGTGAATCATGTGGTGTTCTAAAGCATGTGGAAAGAAGTAGCAACCATATGCTCGACTCCAGACACATGGTAAGTCATTCAGTTCGATGCACGTTGCAAAGATAACGAGTCACCAAGGACTCTGGTAGTCTCCAGGATTCTGGTAACTCCGGAGACACCGGAGACTCCGGAGTGTTCGGTGTTGACTCCGGAATGCTTCCATGTTATGCGCGCACAGATATAACACATAAAAAGGACTGAGGGACAATACAAGTCAACTCTTGCTTCCATGTTGTGCCCTGCTCAAGTCTTAGCATTGCTGAAAGAGGGCGAACATGAAGGGCTATCACAATTAACGGCACAAATAAGAATGGTACCTGACGATATGCTTGAAGGCAAGTATAAATTTGAGAAGGCACTCGACCAGGGCTCTCACCATTCACAGTCAAAACCATTGAATTAATCAGAGTAGACCGAGGTCGACAATTATATCAGGGACAACAACCTCCGGATTTCGTTGCTGCTCGACTAGAAGGAGGGTAAATTTCCCTCAGAACCCAACGGAGGAGTCGAGGAGCCTTGACGGATGTGTTAACAGTTCAAGCGGTGAAGTGGACTGACAAAGCCAACGAGCTGGCCGTTATTCAGTGCCAAGGTCACCAGATTGTCTACCTCACTGTGCCCTACCGAGCTCTCTACTGGGTGGCAACAACACTTGAAATCCCAAATCAGTGCATAGTATTGACTGAAAAACCTACAAAGATTAGATTCTGAAAAATAAACAAGAAAAATGAAGCTTTCAACCATCTTGAACGCCCCAGAGGATACTAGGGCCAGGAGAGAGTAGGAGAGTGAAAGATTGTCGACGACGGGGCCAGAGATCAGATGTAGAGCTAAAATTGGGTACAAAGCTAAAATCCAATAGAGAATGTCCGCGAAGTGAACCAATGGAAGCCAACAATTGCCTAAGCAGTCAGGGTCGGAAGACGAGCCACTCAACATACAACCACTATGGCCTTGCTATTCCCAACTCATTCCTCTCCATCCGAAATATGTCTCAAAGACCAGGGTTTTGACAACAACTATGCCGAAGTGGGAATAGAAGTTCAACCGGAACGATCCCAGGTAAGAAATTTGGGAGAAGGATTGCAATTTTTTTGTATGCCCCCAAAGGAAGAAAGGATACTTACTGGCCATTCCGCAGGATGGGGAAACATCCCTCAACATACCCAGAATTCACTG